CGAGACATTATCCTGAAAATACTTCATTCATAAATGTAGATTATAAGTTTTCGTCAACTGGTAATTAATTTGCTCATTTGCCAAGAAACAGCATAGACAATCAAAAACAGATTTGACTTGATTGGCTTCAGTAACCTTTTTTACATGGGGATTGGCTTTGAGCCTTGGGCAAAGGGCATTTAATACCAATTAGTAAATTGCACACAAGTCAAAATTCTATTTTAAAAAAAGTTACATAAGTTAAAACTAGATGTTATTTTTCTTCAGATTCCGGAGACCTACGCCTGCGTGAAACATCATATACAACAGGCATCAAGTAGCAGGTCTCTTCTTGTACTTGTTCTGCATTAGGCTCACTAGAAAATCTGTAAATACGTGCTCGTAATCGGGCATTTTCCCATAACCTGCAGTTAATTCAATCAGATATGGCAAGAACAAAACACAGTCAAGATTAAAAAAAAAAAGACGGACCCAGTGCCAAAGAGGCTCCCGTATTATGACAGGCTCGGGGGAAAACTCAATCCCATATATACGCGACCTTACCCCCCCCCCCCCCCCCCCCCAAGACAGCACCGCCCCCCCCCCCCTAAGGAGAGGCCGTTTCCGGGATTCGAACCTTGGACCCCGGGTGCAAACGCAAGCACTCCCACCACGGTGCCAAGGCCCGCCTTCAAACCACAGTCAAGATTAAAAATAATAATAATAAATAAATAAATAAATAAAAATTTTGACAATAATCGTTAACTAGAGATAAATGTAAATTTTGCACGGATATATTTTTACTTGCCAGGAAAGTAATTGATGTCAATGACATAAAAGACATCTCTGGTCCCAAGCTTCCGGATCATATCTATGTTGAACAGCCGGAGGCCCTAAAAGCATTGTCTTCAAGATTAAAAAAAATAAAGACAGAAAATGCATCTAGTCACCAAAGGCATTTCAAGTGAAATAGTGACTCGGTATTTACCAGTCGGTGACGAAGCTCTTTTGCAAGCCTCTCAAGCAAAGGTTGGGGTGGAAGTTCTGCAATAATGTATTTCGTTAAGGGAAAAGCTATGGAGAAATGAGTCGATCTGACAGAAGCACTTTGCATCTTAAGTCAAGACCTAAAGGAGAATTTTATCAAACGGGAAGGAGTTTGGTAACTTTGGATAATGACAGACAACAGTTTGTGAGAAAAATAATCAGTCGAACATGCAATGTTAGCGAACAAATTAGTCCAGTAATTATTCAACAAAAACGAGCAATAATCTCACCAGCAATACTAGGGTCAAGATCTGCCTCATCTGCTGTAGCTGCTGCACATGAAACTCTAGGGAAACGGAACAGGCCGGCAACCTCAGCTAGTTCGCGTTTTGTGACATCGGGAAGGGAGAATCGCCTTACAACCTTTATAGTTTCCCCAACAATATAAACTTTAAAGAGAACACCACCTTCAAGGCAAATAGTAATATAACAGTCAATTAAGACTTTTTTTTTTTTTTTTTAGGGGAAATTAAGACCAAAAATTTTGGATAATAAAAATAACTATGTCAAATGTTATACCATGATTTACAAACTCCTGTAAGACCAAAGGAGGTTCAAGTTCTTGGAGGGAGAATTGATCGTAGGCAAGAAATAGTTCATGAGACTTGGCCGTTCCATCCACAAGTAGCGGCTTTGCAACTTGGATGAAGAAAGGAAACAGTAAACGAAGATCGTTACACACAAACGAATGTCCGAAAAATATTTATGCAATATATATACTTTCTTGGAAAAACTATCCCCAGACAAAAAAAAAAGCGGGGGGGGGGGGGGGGGGGTTTTGGGGGGGGGGGGCGCCATACCCAGAGGTAAACTCAGCCCAGATTTAGTAACTTCAAAGGGTATAGACGATGGATCTTTTGTGATAACCAATTGCCTCGGAATACCGACCTTGCCTGCATAACAGTTGAGAAAAAATGGAAACCAAAGGTCACAATCCAAACATGTATTTTTCACAATTATTAAAGTTCTGATTAACAAAACACTTCAAAAAGATTCCTATAGTTGGTCTAACATAAAATACCATGGTAATCAGACAAGTCTAGATCCGCCACATCCCGAAGCATGGACTGGCGATTATGTAGATGTTGTATTGCCTTTGGAGAGTCGAGCACGGTTACTTCTGGATGCTCGTGCTTGTAACCCTTCACAAACAAGAGGAAAAGTTAAGCCATATTGAGCCGCATAACACAGGCAATATAGATTTAATATCACGCAACCAATAAAGTACACCGCATTCAGCAGTAATTTTGTGATACCAACGAATAGCCAGCCATATAGTAGGTGGCAATAAACCACAAAACGCTGTTGGGCTCAAAACCATGTTTTGTAATGACCATACCACTCTGCAATAATTAACAATTTTATGATCTGTCTTACAAGTTACAATTTAGTTATCTGAGATAGGGTTCTAGTTCTATTCTTAGTTATTATGGCTAAGAAACCTAAGAGGACTAAACCAGTAATGAAACTTAAAGGCATTCTAGCAAGACTAATTTGAATCCAAAACATATACAGCGGGATTAAACCATAATAACATCTTCTAAATCATGTTGACCTTGAATCCTTAAGGCCTTAGTTTTCTCAAAAATAAATAATCCTTAAGGCTTTAGTTGATAATGTCCATATTTCCTCTGAATAGAATCGTACAGGTATAATTTTTTTCGTCAAGATCATAGAGACTAACAGTGTGTTTCCATCTGCACTCTTAAAAAAGCTGTCACAAAAAACTAAGATAGAAATTCCTAAACATGCCCTCTCCATTTCACAAATAAAATCCTAAAGGCAACACATTTACCCATCAAGATTCATCAGCAACCAAGACAAGAAAGTTCAAGTTAAGACTTGATCCATCCAAATTATGTCAGAGAATGCAAATAACAAGAGTCCATAATGGTGAAATTTTCAATCAGTTCGACATGTTTTTGATACAGCAATCTTCTCAAAGAATCAGATAAGGATAAAAATTCGGATCCTACACAATGTAGAAAAACACAAAGACCAAAATGCATATAATTGTATGCATAAGTCAAAGAAAGAATGGACGAAAACACACATAATGACCCCTCGCAATTGATCTCAAAACCAGCCAAACAACTCCTCTTAGAAGAATTTGTTAACAAACGTTGCAAGACATCTTTTAGCATCCAAGCTCACCAACACCTAGACAAGTTATCTGGATTGATGGCAGAAAGTAAAATCCTCACTTGTTCAACACTTGGGGACTGATTTCAAATGATGAGGAGAGCAAGAACTCTGCAAATTATGTCAGACAAAAATAAATTTTAAGGGTTAGGAGATTGGCTTTTCAACCAATTACCGCCAAGTTACACTTAATCCCCATCGTTACTATATGGCATCCTCTTTATCGTCTTAATTTGTATGACCAAGTAAATGCAGCATCAAATTCTCAACCAAATGCAGCATGAATTAAAAAAAGGCACAAGTATCATGTAGCAAGGATTGACGAACCTCAATTTCATTACACCATTCGTTTCCCGCCAGCTGGAAGAAACAAAAGACTAGTCAAAAATTTACTTAAACAGTATATGCAGAGTGTGTGCATTGGTGGTTATGACATACACAAAAATTACAGGGAAAAAAAAAAAGATATTCATCACCATTTGTTAAGCAATCACCATATATGCGGCAGTATATTGATACTGCTACATAATAGAGGGAGATCCAGTTCTTTTACTTTTTATCATAAGTCAATTTTCTTTTACTAACACATGTGGTGGTGAATAACAATGCTTGGAGAAAAAAGGGGGTCACCCACATCATCACGTCAAACTCATTACAGCAGGGACGGTCATTAAAAGGACAACAAAAACTTTCCCGACGAAAAGAAAATCTCAAAAGTGATAATGGCTGGATCTAAAAGGACAACCGACAACAAACTCTAACCTTCTGCAGAAGAATGTCAAAGGGACCTTGTTCCGTAAGTGGCCTGTTTAAATCAATTGCAACAAAGAATATACCCTTACTCCTGCATCCAGGTAATTTTTTAAAAAAAAAAAAAAAGACTTAGTCATATGTAAAATTCTGCATACTTGACCTCATCAGAGAAGATAAAATAATTACAGTAGTATTTTCTTAAGTTTATTATTTATATTCTAATCATCCCCACTGTTTCTAGATGGCCATGCGTTCCAAAAATATTTATACAATTACACAAATAACCCGAGGACAAGTACGTGGATCAGTACTGCTTAATTGAGGCATTAGGGGTAAAACATGAACAAATCAAAATTAAAAGAACATAACCCATCACCCACCAACTAGAAAATTGACTTTGGGTTCCTCATAGTAGCCTAATCCAAAGGGTATATATGGTGGAATATTCCCATCTAAGAATAAACGTCAGGTTCCATATAGCCACAAAGCGAAACAAATATGCTCAGCCAAAGCCAAAGCCAAACCGACCCAAAACAGTCACAGTTGCTAATGATCGATTGCGAGAGAGTGATCGCAAATATGCAGAGATTTTTTTTTTACCACTATCGACAAAGACACCCATATCCCTTTTACCCGCCACCATCACCGCTTTCTTTCTTTTTTCGGCCATAAAAGCAACCCAAAACAAAAGGAAAGGCCAAAAATCTAGACCATATAAGGAAACTCGCTAACAAACTAACAAAAGTCGAAAAATAAACAAACACCTGAAAACTATAAACATAATTTATGCGTACATATGTATAACAACTATAAACACACACACACACATACCTGGCCAAAGCAAGGAGCTTGGGCTGTAAAAAGCTTTTCTTCTTCTTAGAGGTTAAGCCATAGCCAACGACAAGCTTCTGTGGGTGATTAAACCCAACGCCACGAACCAAATAACTCTGCTCTTCTTCGTCTTCTTCGTTTTCTCCATGGATTTCACCGTTCAACCTCATGACTATATATGTAATCTCAAATTCCCAGAGAGACGAATCGGAGCGAAAAAATTTCCTATCTGAGCTTGTTGAAGCGAAAATGTCGGGAAAAATTAGGTGAAATTGGAATGAGGTCTGGTTTCTGTGAGTGTTTTCTTCTCTGACAATGAGGAAGAGAGAAGGGAATGGAGTGAAGGACTGCAAGGGAGGGTTTTTCTTCTCTCACCCTTTTATAGGGGAGGCAGAGGCCGACTCTCACTCTCTATATCTATATGTATATATGCGCTCGTGTGTATATGTTGTATTATGTATACGTGTTCTTCGGAGAGAGAGAGAGAAGAGAGAGAGTGGTGGATTTTGTAGCGGATATTCAGCGTTTTTCAGAGAGAGAGAGAGAGAGGAAGTAAAATGTACACAGATTGTCTTGGTTATTTACGCATAAAACTTAAAAAAAAAAAAAAAAAAAAAAAAAAAAAAAAAAAAAAAAAACTTTAGACGCTTCGGCTTCTTGTATTTTGTTTTTCCCATAATACCCCTCTACCTATATTTGTAATTGTTGTTCTATCCAATGAAAAAATATTACGCTCAAATTTCTTTAAACTGTTCTGTTTTCAATATTTAATATGATGTGTAATTCAGAAGTGTGTTTTAATATAGTTTATATAAAGCGCTTTTTTTCAGTCTCTCTTTGGAAGGACTGTCTCTCTAACGCAATATATTTAGAAGTATAAAACGTAATATAATACTTATTCAATTTAATACTGACGTTAAAAATATGAGATATAATTATCTTCGACTATTACCACAAAATTCTTCTAATCTATATACATAAAATTTTAAGAAAATAATTTGAGAAAAAAAAAAGATAGAAAAACTAAACTCTTTTATATGGTTGGATAGATAGATGGATTAGACTATATTGTTATATTAATGGATTAGATAAAAGTTTGTCACACGTAGACATATAGTCGCTTCTCATGCGAGTCAATGATCTTTCAGTTGCTCCACTAGTCAATCTAATCCAGTTTTTGGTCTCTTATATATTTTATACTTTCAAACCTTCTTATTTCATTTTTTTCTGTTTTTTTTTTTTTTTTTTTTTTTTAAGTTATGAAAGTTTCACTCAACCTGTCTCGTTTGAGATGGCAAATTAAAGCATTGGAAAGAAGTAGCAAAAAACACTTGGGGTATTTAAAACCTTAAAAAAATTGTCCTCCACTCTTGTAAAGCATTTCCAAATGGTCATTATTCATAAATTAATAGTTACTTAAAGGTATTTTTTTCAAAAAAATATTTTACCACATTGTAGAATATAACTCAATATATGTTAGCAGACAAACATTGTTTTCTTATATTGAGGGGAAATCCCCATAGCATTGCAGAAAAAAGAAAAAGAATACATATAATATATATCTTAAATCTTGAAATAAAATTAAACTATCAAATTTAAAGTTATTAAGACAACACAAACACGTAGTGAATAGATTATCAAAGATAATAAGCAATTTTAATTATATTTTTTTATTGAAGTCCTCAATCTCTTCAAATAGGGCAAGTACCATGGTGAAAACTTTTTTTTTTTTTTTGAAGTCATGTAAAAAAAAAAAAAAAAAAAACGTTTATGGAATAGGGAATATACTCCTTGCAAAAGAGACAAAGAATATGCCAAACTTTAAAACCTAATTAATCAAGTTTCTTGGGCTACTATCAGTTAGTTCACAATCACTATACATAGATAACATTAATCAAGATAATTGACACTTTCTTATCAGGATGATTGCGAGATGCTTAGGGGAAAAAAAAATGTCAAGTTGCCATAATCAGATTATCTTGAATCAATATCTAACTTTCATGAAAGTAGTTACCATTTGAATATACTCTAATTAAGAAAATAGCTTAGAATACATTTAATTAGTGATTACCTAATTACTCTCTTAAATAAAAGCTATAGCTACTTTATGCTGATAAATATATCCTTACCATTAATTCCATTTTTTCTTTTTTGCGATCCGTATAATGTTATACGTATGTTTGGTATATATAATGGGCAAAGGATCTTATGCTAAAATTTGTCTTAATATATTGAGTCACATCAAAGCCTATCTAGGCCTACCATTTTCATATCTGTCCATTCCCACGAATGTGTGTTAATAACAACTCGTAAATAAAGCCGTCAAGATTGTGAGGAACACAATTCAAGTAGAAAAGAAGCCTTGTAATTTAAACCATAAACTAAGACTAGGCCAAGCTACGTTCTCTAATTGTATCAACTTGATATTTCTAAGTCATTATTTTTCCCCCTAGAAATTACATAGAAATTGCGTTAATGGTCAATTTGCCTTCAAAAACGACAACTCCACAGAAAGAGGCAAGATGGGTAACTGACTTTTGTAGCTGAGAATCATACAATATCCCGAAAAATATGTGCTTAAATGGATAATAAATGAGTGTTACACAATGTATGTGCCTCACATTTGACGCTGACCAATTCATATATACATACGTGTGTGTATATATATATATATATATATATATATATATGTTCAGTTGACTAAAACTTGAAGCGTGCATGGCTTCTTTTTCTTCTGTGAAATTCCCTCGTGGGAGATGTGGAAGAACAATTGCTAGAAAAAGAGCAAATATATATTATGTCATGGAGAATAAAAACAAGTTGATGATTATCAGGGAAAGATATTGGTTGAAAGATATACATCAAGGTGGAGTAGAAAAAAGTGTGGAATATTTGTATCACTAGCCAAAATGGGTTTTAAGATAGTGGAGTTCTTGAGAATGTTATTGATAGAGCTCATATTGGTATATAACTACTGCTGGGAATTAGTTTGCTTTAATCTCAAGCGAAAGTGCACAAAGTTGAAAGTTCTACACTCATGATAAGACATAAGAGGACCCCACAAAGTTTAAAGTTGAAAGCACCATTACGTTTAAATCAAATTGTGTGTTACCATAACAAACATGGCAAATGTGATGCACGTGAAACATCTAGCTAGGATTGTGGTTAAAAAAGAAAGTTGGTCAAACAAAAAATTGAACTTTTTTTTAGTAGGACTTCCCTGTTGGTAGAGGTTAATTTCTAGTTGATTTAAAATCACATCACATTAAAAAATATGCATAACAAATTATTTTTGATATATATTTAACGGTTGAAGATAAGTAATTAACGATAATTTCTTTTTTCTAGTCCTACAAGAGCAACTCTTAAAAAAAATGCCAAATATCGTTGATTCTAAATCTTTGATCACGTGTTTATTGCCTTACTCTAATTGTACGTTATGACAAAGGATATGTTTTAGTAACTACAAACTTTATATTTTGCTTGGTGAAGCCTTCCTATGTGGCCACTAAGTTTGATTAACAACTTATCTCTCTCTCTCTTTTTGAAGTTGCTAATTTGGTCGGTGCATGATTAGGAGGTTTAAGTCCAAAATTTAAGCATCTTTATAATGCGACCATGGCCTACAAATATTTTTGCAGTCAACTCTAGTAGAGCTTCCTTCTAATTTGTGAGGAAAATGCTTACATAATCCGATTCTAACTCAAATCCACTTATAATTGACATCTATCTATGAATCTCATTATTTGTTTAAAAAAATAAAAGTAAAAAAAATGAAAAAAATGGAGTGTTTTAGACTTTTATGATAGTCTATTTTTACAGACTATCAGAAAAAATCTCTAAAATTAAAATTCCTCCAAACAAATAGAATTTGATCAATTTCAGCATAAAGTATTTAAGAGTACATTTAGTTTAAAAATTCGTGTCATGATTCGAATTATAATTCGTATATTATTATAATATTTTCTCTCATAAAAAATACACATAAATTAAAAATAATTTTAAATTATAATTTTAAATACATCAATTAAACGTACTTTAAATAGCTTATACAACCATTCTATAAATGCAAAGCTGGAGTTTTCAATTGGAAAAGGACAATAAGTAGGTAGAGCATGGTGAAATTATTTTTCAGTCCTAACCAATAACAAGAGGCAGTGTTTATTGCATTCCAGAAGTCGCACGAGTAGTACAGAAAAAATGGTTGGCCTTCAGCAATGCTAAAAAGCTGATTATTTATTCAATATTCAAAAGTGCAGGCTTTTAGTGGATGTTGTTTTTTACACACACTACAGAATTTGTACCCTGTGTCCTATTGATGGCTCCAGCCAGGGTTCCACATTGTATTATTATAGGTTGAGGGGTCATCTGCAGACTTTGTGAGAATCATCCTTTGTGGGTGTTATTGGAAGATATATCTAAGACAATAACAATTTAATAATATAATTTAGATATTTTAATCATACCCATTAGACTGATGTACACATAAATATGTTTTGGATAGGAATGGGAGTAGAAAAAAGTTGGTCGATTAATAATTATGATCACAATTAGCATTTTCTCATTCTTACGTACTAAGGATTTGTTCTTTTGAGTGAAAAATTAAAAAAAAAGCAACTCGAATTATAATTTTATTCAAGTTTATGTTTTTTTAAATTTGAACTCGAGTTCAAACTCGAGTTTAGGACTAAAACTCGAGTTCAAGTTTCTCATTCAACTCGAGTTCAGAAACTCAAACTCAAATTAATGAACAGTATTTTTTCTATTCTTAAAAATGCTATAACTTTTTCATTTTAATTCTAATTGAGATGATTTTTTTTCTATGCGTTGACAACGAAAAGATGATAAAACTCCATCCATATACTCTATTAAAATTTTTCATCAGTATTGAGTTTTTATTAAAATACTATCTAAATATAAATTCAAGTTTTGACTCACTCAAATACAAACTCAAAAAGATTCTTATCTCAAACCATAACTCAAATGTACACAACCAAACACAAACTCAAGTTATAACTTCAACTCAAATTATAACTCAAATTCAACTCAAGAATTATACTCAAGTTAAACTCTGAAAGAACAAGCCCTAAATAAGCCGATAAAAATGGCATCCAATATTATTCACTTATAAATTCATGATTTTCATTGTCTTTGTCACAAAGAATAACAAACAATCATAACAAATAAGATAATTCTCCCGTAAGGTTTTTTTAACGGCACTTTTTATGAAATTTCTTATGTGATTCTAATGAAATTTAACAACTGAAACTACGTAATATCCATATATTATTTGCTCATAGATCTAAAGGAATAAAAAAAAAAAGGAAAACCTTTTGCTAAAACAAATAAAACACTACTTATATGCTGATAGATTATATCAGCAAGGAAAAAAAAACAAAAATGCTGATACATTTATGGTCATTGGTCACATGCATGGATGTAATTCTGCAGCCGGTCAGATGAAAATCTTTGCTGTGATAGGCTGTGAATAGGGG